ACCTCTGCATTTTTTTTTTTAATCTTTAATGAAAGTCATTCAGCCTGACAACACACAACAGGATTACAAATAATGGGACAGAAACTCTGAAAGGGCTAAAGTATCAGACAAGCTTTCTAGGCTGCAATTCCATCAAATTAACCAGTTCAATGAACTGATCAGAGCCCAGTGCATATTTCATCATCTACATTAGCATACATCTATGATTTTATAAAATCAAGACATCTCCAACCACAATCTAAAACAAAAAAAAAAAAACCAGAAATTTATTTGCTAAAGGGTTCCTCAGTAATTTTGCTTATAGTTGTCATCAAACAAAACAAATGATCAGGTCTCAAAGATTCCATGCCATCATTGGAGCCCCTAAAGTAGTAATGTTTGCTTAAAAATAGAAGTGAAAACCTTAAAACTGAAAAAAGTTTTCAAAAGAACATTTTTTTTAGGATGTTTTACAGAAGATTCATAAGAACTGGGGTATAGCTAAAAGGATTTAGCAGGATCTTATTCACTGTGCCTGGTAACAAAGAATGAAGGCAAAGTGACTCAACTTTCCTGCAAATAATCTATGCCTCTTTCTTTGAAAATAATTTGATGGGTAAAACACCCTGAAACTATGATTATCAGATTAAAGGGACCCCATCAAGAGGCACGTTTTTGAATCCATCTTTCATAGAAAACTTTGAAGCGAATATTATGAAGAAGAAGAAGAAAAGAAAACCATGCTGATTATTATAGCAGGAAACAGAGAGGATACGAATATATAGTAGGAAACTGGAATTAGGGTTTTTGAAGGAGAGGGTTGAAGGGACTTGAGTTACCCAAAACCCTCATATTTCCTACAGTATGACTATTGACCCAAACTAAAGCCCTTTTGGAAGGCCCAGCCTTGCTCCATGAAAGAAAACAAATGGACCAAAACTAAATCAGCCCACCTTTTAAATTTATCAATATCAATCCCATTTAACCCGCCCCGTTTCTTTTTAATTCGTAATTTACTCTTAAACCTTTCAATCTTATTATTTATTTGACTGAAGAAGATATTACGCACATAAATTTTTTTAAATTCATAATTTTCAAATATCAATTCTAATGATATGTCAATTGATTTAAGAGATAATCAGTGGCTCATTTTATTTTATTTTTTTAAATACAATACTAAATTTTTGTTTGCTTAAGAAAATAACCCATGCTTCGCATCCGAGCATTTTGCTAAGTAATTGGTGTATGATTTGTTGCTCATTGTGTACAGTTTAAAATTCAAATCTCGCTTCCTCAAATCAAAAGGAAAATAACCTATGTTTCGTAATGCTTGACATCATATGTGGTTTTATAACCAAATGTCTTTAAATGAGTTTTTTGTTGTGTGATGTATTTATAAGTATATGTATTATTAATTAGAATAATTAAATATTTTAATTTACATATCATTTGATTTTCTATGTTATTTTTATTATTTTTACAAAAAAAATTATACAAACAATTTAGATTAAAAACGACTATCGCATTTTAAAGTCAAAGCATGCCAATTTTAAGAAAAATTTACAGTTCATTCGTAAAAAAAATTATTGACAACAAAAATTAAATTTAAACTTATCAAATAAAATATTCGATTTATATCAACTCAATCCTATTTATTACTTAAAAAAAAGGTTTGAAAGCAAATTTTAAGTGCAATCTTGATAGGAAACAGGGAATCATCTTTTCAAAGATCACTTAAAATGACTTGAATGAAGGAAAACTTATTAAATGCATTCAAGAATCAAATACCTAATTGGATGCCTTATGTTTCCACTTCCTAATTTCCCAATTGGGTGGAAAATAATGGAGAACCCAAGTTTGCTTGTAGGAAAATAGCCTTTCTTTGATTGGATTATGGAGAATCACATTTCAACTGCTTCATATCCCATTTTAGATTCAAACCCAAAATCATCAAATTCTTTGATGGCGGACCTAATTAACCTACTTGCCGACATTGTAATAGAGTTGATAATGGTCAGTGACCACAAAATGTTGGCAGAATATGAACTTAACAGTTGATTCCATAATAGAGCAAAGCCTCTTCGCCCAACTATTGCTTAAAATTATTGAATAGATTGATCATGCAGATTCCTTTTGTTAGCCATAATAAGCCATCCAATTCCCAATTACCAAGCAGATTCCCGGCAAGGGTCCCAGAAGCATTCTTCAGTCAAGTCATTTTTGCAGGGAATTGTAGACAAATTGGTTACCAAAGAACTCCGCTTATCATTCTTCTCTTTTCTCTTTTAGTCCCCAAAATATTTTTAACAAAAAAAATTATTTTTGTTTTCCACAAACTTGAGAAGTCTTATAGTTTAAGAGTGTTTATAATTTGGTTTTAACCGAATTAACTGACCGAATTGATTTAATTCGATTAATCGATCAATCATCCAATTAATTTCGATCTATTATAAAAAAATTTTTTTTTTTAAATTTTGATTTTCGATTAATTCGATTCGAAAGCCGAATTAACCGAAAGTTTATTCAAAATATTATAAAACTTATATATAAAATTAAAAATATATGAATTTATCCTTTTCATTTCAAGTTATTAGAGTTTTTAATTTAATATTTTGGTGTTTGAATATTTTTATTAGATGATTTTATTTAATTTATTTCACATATAAAAAAAAGAATTTAAAATATAATTTAACTTAATGTTTTTTATTATTCGGTTAATCAAAAAAATTAATCGAACCAAATGAAATAATTTTGGTATATTAATTTTTAAAATCAAGAAATTCAATTCGATTAATTTAATTTTAAATAATTCAATTCAAAATTAATTAAACCGAATAAACACTTCTATTAATATTTTTATTTATATAAATTGATTGAATCGATAAAAATAAAATATATCATTTATAAAACTTAAATTTCATTCTCGTTATCAGCAATCTCTTTTATTAAGTAATTTATAAATCTAACGTAATTACCTACAACATGTCAAAAATAAAATAGCGTTTCCTCACTTAAAATTTTTTTAATAATAAAAGATCTCAATGTTTGAAAAAAAAGGATATTTTATTAAACGAAACTTAATTGAGATAAGCAAGGTATAATAAATTAATTAATAGACTTCTTCTATTCGACACCAAAATTTAAAGAATCAACTGATTTATTCATTATGAATATAAATAAAAGAATAAAACGTTACATAGACATAAAAAAAATGTAACTTATTGGTTAAAACAAAAACAAAAACTTTTGACTGTGGGTAATTCAAAATTTGACGGTCTATTTTATTATATGCTATAGCTATTTATGTTTGGAGAGCAAGAATTTTACATATTTGCACACGTTTGTATTATATAAAATAAAACTTATTAGATTCCTTGATAGGCAAGCTTTCAACATGGCTAGCTTGAACATGAAGAATTATATTAAATCTCTTTCCTTTTCTTAGTATTGATATTAAGGAATGTGGGAATTCAAATAAATATTGAAAACACCCACAATTGTATTAAAAAAAAATCCTATCATTTTGATAGTAACTTTTTTTATTTGCAAATAATTGGATAATTTATTAATATTAGTTTCAATGATTAATATTCAACCCCACCAACCTCAATTTTTTTTTTGCAATTAAAAAAAAAAACTATAATTTTCATGACTCTTTTGCATTTGCACCTCGAAACTCTAATGATAAAAATATTTAGACATGATAAAAATATCTATACATGATAATTTATGTCATTGTATTATATTTTATGTTAAATACGATTTTAAATATGACATGTTCAAATATAATATAAATAATTTTGATACAAATATTTAAATGATACGAATAATCAAAATACGAATATAATAAATTTATTATATGTGTTATATGTGATATGATATGATTAACATATTTTAATATATTTTAAGAATGAGTAACACAACATGATATGATTAATACGATTAAATACTATTAACATTAAAATATCTAATCAATAATTTAATATTTAATCAAAATGATAATATAATAAAAATATTAAAGCACAATTATATGCGAGTTATAAGTGTATAATTTATACATGTTGATATAATAACATAATTAATTAATTAATAATATCTTAAACGTATAACAAAGGTAAGACATAAAACACAACAAATATGATATCATGTTTTAAATGTATCAATATGATTAAGACATGAAATATAATTTTGATACAAATATTTAAATGATACGAATAATCAAAATACGAATATAATAAATTTATTATATGTGTTATATGTGATATGATATGATTAACATATTTTAATATATTTTAAGAATGAGTAACACAACATGATATGATTAATACGATTAAATACTATTAACATTAAAATATCTAATCAATAATTTAATATTTAATCAAAATGATAATATAATAAAAATATTAAAGCACAATTATATGCGAGTTATAAGTGTATAATTTATACATGTTGATATAATAACATAATTAATTAATTAATAATATCTTAAACGTATAACAAAGGTAAGACATAAAACACAACAAATATGATATCATGTTTTAAATGTATCAATATGATTAAGACATGAAATATAATTATAAAAAACATAAATACAATTTATTATATGTAATTTTTTTGGTAAGAAAAAATTTAAAAGTAGATAGACTATTCAATCTCTCATGTTAGAATAAGATATGTCGTATATGACAATCTAAGACAGTTGACTACAGATCGTGCATTTGAGATGATTCTAACAAGTAATCACCGACAGAATTCGAACTTAAAACTTTTTTATAAAAAAAAATGAACATAATCGATTAAATCAACTACTTATTGATATTATATATAATTTTTGTATCATAATATTATATCCTATTTAAATTATAAGGTGTAGCATAGACAATAGTCCCACGTGAGCTCTGACCATTACACAACAAAACCTACCGGTCAAAGTGAATCAAATTATCAAAATCAGAAAAAAAAAAAAAAAGTAACCTCAATTCTCGACCGTCCGATTTCTCATGACGTCACTCCATACGTATCCCCAACCAGTGTTTTATATTTTTGAGAGTCTCCAATTTTACGGGGTCCTACTCTCACCTCCCTCCATAAATATAAACCAAACGCTCCCCAAATTTTTCCCTCAAACCGAAGTTCGTATTCTTTGTTTTCGGTCGAAATCGTCAGTTGCTCCTGCAAACCATGTGCCCATCCGACAGGAACTCAAGTCGGCTGGAGAAGAACAGCCCAGGGTCGGGTTTCAGGTCGGCGTTCGAGGTTCTCGACGCGGATCGTGATGGGAAGATTAGTAGAGAAGATTTGAGGACATTTTACGCTGGGTTTTCTAATGGTTTTGATGATGACGAAATGATTGGGACCATGATTTCTTTGGCGGATTCGAATAGGGATGGGTTCGTTGAATACGAGGAGTTCGAGCGGGTTTTGGGAGGGTCGAAAGCAAAAGCTTCAGGTTTTGGGGCGATGGAAGATGCTTTTAAGGTTATGGACAAGGATGGAGATGGAAGGTTGAGCCATGACGACTTGAAAAGTTACATGAACTGGGCTGGGTTTCCTGCTTCGGATGAAGATATTAAAGCTATGATCAGCTTGGGTGGTGGTGATGAAAAAGAAGGTGTCTCTTTTGATGGCTTGCTTAAGATTTTGGCTGTTGATTTTTCTGGGTAATTAAGTTTCAATCTTGAGTTGACATTTTTCCTTTTTGTTTTGGTTGAAATGATGGATCAAATCAAAATATCAATAATTGTTGAAAACAATGGAGTTTTCTAGCTCATCTTTCCCTTATGTAAATCATTTCCATATTGCAAAATTTATTGTAGGACAGTTTAAAAACAAAATGATTTGTTTTGCTTGGAAACCATAATTCCCTACGCTTCAACTAGTCTTTTTCTTTTAGGTCATTTTTTATAGGGGTGATCATTTTAAAATGTTGTAAGTTTATACATTATGATTAGATAATTATATTTAATGAATACTTTAAGATTTTATTTGCTTATGATTTTGGATCATCGAAAATAATTATATAACTATTATAGAGAATGATAACATTAAACTTTTATTCTTTGGAGAAATTTATTTAAAATTAATAATAATTAATATTATTCATTTAATATATAAATTAAAATTTTTTAAAAATTATAATTATTTTATATTTTAAAATTAATATTCATCGTAAAATTTTCAAAAATAATTTATATATTTTTTATTTTTTAATATTTATATAATATAATTTTTTATTTTTCTTTTTTTTATGAATTTAATAGATTAGTTTTATTTTTTAATTTAAATATGTTTTATATAATTTATGTTATAAAAATTAATTTAGTATTGTTGTTTATTTCTATAATTACATTATCATGAAAATCTTACACAAAGATAACAAATGTTACATTATTTGTTTCTTCTTCCTGCTGATTTTTGTGGCATGTGAACGAGAATCCAGAAAGAAAAAAAAATAGTATATAGTAAATATATCACAGCAAGGTTAATAGTCCATATAATCATAATTATTGGGGAACAAATAAAAGGAATCTTTTTAAGACACTTGACAAAAAAATCTTTTCCACGTTTTAGCAACTAGCATTATCGTTTTGGTCGATTCGTTTAATTAATTAATTTTTTGATTGTCCCACGACTGAGCTATAAATACTATTACCAGTAATTAAAACAAATCTTTTATGACCTATCTAACACTTTAAAACATGATATAATAATATAAATAAAATATATAAAATTAATACGATTTAAATTTTTAATGATAATTATATATTAATTTAACAAAATAAAAAAAAATACATGTTATATTTTTAGATTAACACAAATTATAACATATAATTTTTATATAAAATATAATATAAATATATAAAATTTAATATTTTACATAATACAAATATATAAATCACCATCTTTGCCCAACTCTTTCCATTCACCTAAGCAAAGAACTTGTTCGATAGCCTTGAGGCTTGGCTTCCGACCACAAGAATTCTTGAGGCTTGAACTTTCCCACAAACATTACAACCTGGACTTAAGGTCCACAAAGGACATGGGCCTAGGAGCCCCCAATCTCCATAAGCACGATGCATGGTACAAAAACATTCTACCATACGAGATACACAAAATCTAAGTGCATTGTTGACAGGGAGGCAAAGTCCTCAGCTACATAAATTTCAAATACTCCAGATCAGTGATCACAATAAAATGTTCTAAGTTTCAACCATTATGTTTACTAGTCACACACAAAACAGTGGCTAGCAAGTACCCAGGAATATATTTCGGGATCCATAGAAAATTTTGTATTTACAATTTACGAAAGTTAGATGATCATCAATACCTGATGAGAAGAGCAGCTTGATTTTCATACCATCTTCCGATTGCTACACATGGACTCTCAAACTGAACTGATATTTCCACTCATCAGTTCCTCTTGAAAGGATTTGTAACGCAAAATGCATAGATCACCAGGCTCCATTTGCAAGTGATCACCAGGTGTGGTTTTACTAATTCTAAGAATAGATGCTACAAACAAGTGAGAATAGCAAATTGCCTGCCGTCAAAGCCTGCAGATTGCCTGCTAACATCAGGGCAACAACAAATGTATCTAATTGTGGCTCTGGAACTGAAAATCGATGAAAATCAGCTTGTAAACATCAAAATGAACAAGTTCCAATATTTCTCCAAAAACAACAAGTTGCAATGTAATGGACCTGAGAAAAATACAGTTCATACATGAACTTGAATGCTTTCCTGTTCTTTTTATTCGAATCATGTGCTACTTGAAAGTTCAGAGCACATACGCATATGCACAGCAAAGTGATGCATTAACATCAAAGAGTGAAAGTTGGGGAAAAAGATTATTAGAAATACCCATATCATCTTATTCACTTATAATGGATTGCTTTAACGGAGACTGATAGATTGATGCAATGAGAGGATTATAATTGGTTAATTTTCAATTTTAACCTCAAAATCAGTGCAAACAACTATTCAATTAAGATTTAAAATTACTTCCCTTTCAACAATTTGGACTTTGAATTTTTTTAAAAAAATTCAATTCCTGATAAAAAAATATTAAGATTATGATATTCCAGTTAATAATTTAAAGAGAAACACAATTAAACATATATCCCAATGGAAGCTTAAAATCGAGTAATTACATTTTTAACATTTTATAGATCATCTAATTCCAATCAAATTTTATTAATTTGGTATATCAATTTTTAAATTTAAATTTTTTATTTTTATATGTTATTTTAATTTAATATTTAATATATTTAAATAGATTTAAATTAAAAAATAATTCTTTTTATTTTATAAAAATTTAAAAAATATAAAATTAATAAAAATATAAAATTAGAGATTTATTTTTTATTCAAAATTCAATTTAAATTTAATATACATTTAATATTTAAAATTAACTCAAATAAAAAAAATTAATCCGAATAAAATAAACTAAGATTTCAAATGAATTTTCAATTTTCAAAATATTTTTCTTACTCCTAACTAAAGCCTCCTCGAAAAGAAAGATCTGAAGAGCCGCTTTCTTGTTAAGACACGCTCTTTTTGAGAGATCCACATCGGTCAATAAAATCAACGTCTCGTAATCATCGATCTGCTCCGTTCACCACTCTCCTCGTCTCCCGCACCCGACGCCATCCGATCTCTCTTTCTGTTTCTCTCTCTACGTTTCTGAATCAATTTACAAATGACTACTTAAAACAGGGAAATTTTGGCAAAAAAATGAAAAATCGAATTGGCGGCTAAAGCAAAAAAAAAAAATGATCGGGTGTTTTCAAGAGGAGACAAATCACGAGTTTGTGCGTGAATCTAACACCATTGGATGACCTGATTAAAAACTAGGCGGCTCCGAAGGCGTCTGATTCACGCATAAACTGGAGATGTGTCCCATCTACTAATAACCAAAGGAGAACAGAAGTGAAAAGAATTCGAAATTTGAAAATGTTGAAAGAGCTAATTTGGGAAGGGTTTGCCTTTGCCTTTTATAGAAGGGAAATGGTCAGATGCTACGTACGAAATTACATGCGGTACACCGTACACGTTGATAAAGCTGCCTTCCTTTATGGATTAATGACATGTGTCTGTTGATATATTGGGTTAATGACATGTGTCCAATTAATTTTTATGGTCAATATTAAAGCACGTGTCTGTTTGATATTTCTTTCTTTTTTAATAAGTGACGTGTTCTGTTAAAATAATAATAATAATAATTTTTTTATATCATCTAATATAAAATATGATATAATTATACTATATATATAATTTGAAATAAAAATAAAAATAATATAATTTAAAATTTTAATAATTATTATATATGTATCTAAAAAATAAAAAATAAAATTTATATTTTTATATAATTATAAAATATGATATAAATACATAAATTTTATATTTTATATAATATAAATACATAAATTATTTTTTTTTCAGTCAAAACAAAATACAATGATTAATGAAAATCATGGTTTTTTTTTTATCTCTCCTCTTTTACCTAAGAATTGACTAGCAATAAATATGCATATATATGAGATTTTTTTTTTTTATGGAGATGAATATTAAGATTCCAGTGAGTTGATGTTTTTATTATTTATTATTTATTATTTTTCATGCTTTTTTTTTTTACTTTTTATATTGCTTTTTCCAAAAATATATATAAAAACTATACCGAACTTTTTTTTGAAATAAAACTATACCAAACTTAAATTAATTAAATTTAGAATAATGACTATTTGAAAAAAGAAAATAATATTATATTTTAAATAAAGTGTTTAATTGCAGTATACGTTTGCTTTTGATTTATGTTTTTCTTGGGCTTTAAGTTGAACCATTAGGACGAAACCTTTCGGCGGAAGAAATGGACTATGAATTTCCCCAACATTTTCTTAGGACTTTTGGGCCATAACTTTTAAGCCATTGACAAACGACAACACAATCGTAGAATCTTGAAAGATTGTACAAGAAAACAACTATAAATATTAATATTAAAATTTTAAATATGTTGAATATTATATATTTAAAAGTGATTGTATAAATTAACTTAATTAAATCTCGTATTGAAGTAAAAATATTAATCACCTCTTTATTTTTTAGTTTAGCTAGTAATTATTAGGAATGTCTACTAATTAATGAATAACTTAGAGTATGTGTTTACTGAAATATTATTCATAAAAATAATGAGATTTTATAATAACATTAATCTTATTGTAGAATTAATATCTTGATTTCTTAAAAAAAAAAAAAACTAGATATGAATGATACTTTAAAAGTAAAATTTGTGAATCTTTAAACGATGTTCAAACACATTGATTTTATTTTTTTAAAAATTAATATTTTAAATTGATTATTATTTATGAATTGAAAAATAATTAAGATCATTCATTCATGATTCTACTAGGATCGTTCCACTAAAATAAAATAAAAATGTAATTATTAAACAAAACTAATTTCAAACTCTGCATTGTGTATGATAAGTGTGCATATGTATATATATACATTTATTCATTTCTTCCATGTACTATAATTTATATAGTATCTATATAGTATATGCAGTATTTATAATGATATTTAAAAAAAAAATTGAAGAATTTATAAGCAACTCCTAAACAAATAAGAGTTACAAGTATATATACAAATTAAATAGAGATATATACACATGCAATGATGCAAACACGCACAATTAGTATATAATTAAGCATGTACTTATATATGTATACACATAAAACTCGCATTTCACGAGACTAATAATCTAAGTCAAAATAAGTTGTAATAGACTAGGCACGGCACTTTGGGGTTGAATTTAGGATGCTTTCTAT